ACACCGAGTGGCCGGATTATTATATACACTGAGTGGCCGGATTATTATATACACCGAGTGGCCGGATTATTATATACACCGAGTGAAGTGTATATAATAATCCGGCCACTCGGTGTATATAATAATCCGGCCACTCAGTGTATATAATAATCCGGCCACTCGGTGTATATAATAATCCGGCCAATCGGTGTATATAATAATCCGGCCACTCGGTGTATATAATAATCCGGCCACTCAGTGTATTCCCGTGATGGAAGGAATGATACCAGAGTTCAGGAAGCATTGCAGCCCCATGTAGCGCAGCGCTTGTTTCATGTACATCCAATATTCAGGCTCCAGAGATCATCAGCGAGCACAAAGCTGAAGAATGTGTGTTGGCAGATTCTCTGAATATCTTACAAGGCCTTTGCGCTGCGTCTAGAACACGCTGAGCTGTGAATTATATGAATGACCTCGCACACACACACATGCCCGGCAGGCCTGCGCTCGGTGCTGCGGAGGGAGAACGGCAATGCAGGAATTGTGGATTCAGCAGATCTGACCCTGGGAAGAGAACAGGGAGAGACAGCGTGTCCCTCGAGGAGCCTGTCAGGGCTGGGGGGTGTGACGGGCCTCGTCTCTCTTCATCTATCGTGCCCTTGAATTCGATGCTGCGTCCCCCACAACGCGCCCACCTCCGGGGTCACCGACCAACGTCAGCCGCGCCTCACGTTCTCCGCCGAGCGTCCCCCGAGCCAATTCCCCAATCCTGCTACCTCAGCACTAGAGGGGCCCCCGGGGAACCCTGCGATCTTCAGCTGCAACAAACGAGGAGGCCGGGAGCGCCACGCCGCGCAGCACGCCGAATCTGCAGATGTCACCGTACATTAACTCACGCAGACACCACCTGCAGAGAACACTGTGGGCAGCGCTTCATCTCACCGCCGCACAAATGAACATCTTCATGTGACGCGCTGGCTTATCTCCGACGCATGGCTAGAGAAGTCGGATAAATAATTGTTTTTTTGGGGGTTTGTCATTTCTTGTCTGATGTGCCGGCTGCATCTCATCTGATCCCGCTACGGCGGTTCTGTGTACTCTGATATGTGACGGACGTGAAAGAACCTGAAAAGGAGAGACCGGTCCAAAAATAACCACAAACAGCAACAAAAACACCTTCAGCTTTCCTCCACCGAAAATAACCGATCGTTCCCAGATTGGGGTGGAAGATGATGAAGGGAATATTTCAGAGCTCGGCCATTATATGGCAGGACGTTTGACGTGGAAAGTGATTCACTGGACATGGCTAAGTCTGGCCATGCTTCATGTTACACTAATATTTAAAGGAGAACTATGGGGTCAGTGTTTTTCCCCATAATTCTCCTTAGGGTAACGGGAGGACCCAAACTAGCGTCCTCCCGTCACCCTAAGCTCAGTATATAGGGAGCTACAGCTCGCGGTATGCTGAGACGCCGCAGCCGGAGCGGATGCCGACGTAGATGACGGTGTCCGCCCAGCTGCGTGAGTGACAGCTGGCTCTGCCTATCTAGAGGCAGAGCCAACTGTACCCTCCCCCGTCCGTTCCGCCAGTCAGCGCTGGAGGATCGGAGCGGGGAGGGGGGAATCCAGCCCCTCCCCTGTCATGGCAGAGAGCCGTGACAGGATCGAGAGGTGAGCGAACGCTGGTATGTGTTCGCTCACCTCCCGATCTACTGAGCCGACCTGTGACAGTCTCATTGTCACAGGTCGGCTAGAACTATGAGGTGAGTGAAAAGCACTCACATCATAGTTCTCCTTTAAGG